AACGGTACCCAAAATTTTCGGTATTTTAAGGTTCTTGAGCGCGGTTTTCAACCGAATTCGCAGAAATTTGGCACATTGGGTTCTTAATAGGTTCCAAATCTCTCCACCAAAAATTATGAATATAGGTCAATTTTTTCGGATAGCCCCCATATAAGAATACCCCCAATTTTCGGTATTTGGGGGTTCTTGAGCGCATTTTTCAACCGAATTTGCTGCAATTTGGTAATTTGTAGTCGTATATGGTAACAAATCTCTCTACCAAAAATGTTTAATATTCGCTATATAACCCCCGATATAACCCCCTTTTTATACCCTCCACCATAGTATGGAGGGTATATTAATTTTGTCATTCCGGTTGTAACACATCGAAATATTCATTTCCGACCCTATAAAGTATATATATTCTTGATCAGGGTAAAATTCTAAGACGATCTAGCCATGTCCGTCCGTCTGTCCGTCCGTCTGTTGTAATCACGCTATCTTCAGAAGGAATTGAGATAGGGTGCTGAAATTTTGCACAAAGTTGGCTTTTGTCTGCAGGCAGGTCACGTTCGAAGATGGGATATATCGGTCCACGTTTAGGCATAGCTCCCATATAAGGGTACCCCCCAATTTTCGGTATTTTGAGGTTCCTGAGCGTGTTTTTCAACCGAATTCGCTGAAATTTGGTACTTTGAGCTCTTATTGGGAAGCAAATCTCTCTACTAAAAATTATAAATATAGGTCAATTTTTTCTGGTACCCCCCATATAACGGTACCCCCAATTTTCGGTATTTTAAGGTTCTTGAGCGCGGTTTTCAACCGAATTCGCTGAAATTTGGCACATTGGGTTCTTAATAGGTTTTAAATCTCTCCACCAAAAATTATGAATATAGGTCAATTTTTTCGGATAGCCCCCATATAAGAATACCCCCAATTTTCGGTATTTGGGGGTTCTTGAGCGCATTTTTCAACCGAATTTGCTGCAATTTGGTAATTTGTAGTCGTATATGGTAACAAATCTCTCTACCAAAAATGTTTAATATTCGCTATATAAACCCCGATATAACCCCCTTTTTATACCCTCCACCATAGTATGGAGGGTATATTAATTTTGTCATTCCGTTTGTAACACATCGAAATACTCATTTCCGACCCTATATATATTCTTGATCAGGGTAAAATTCTAAGACGATCTAGCCATGTCCGTCCGTCCGTCCGTCTGTCCGTCCGTCCGTCTGTTGTAATCACGCTATCTTCTGAAGGAATTGAGATAGGGTGCTGAAATTTTGCATAGGGTTGTCTTTTGTCTGCAGGCAGGTCAAGTTCGAAGATGGGATATATCGGTCCACGTGTAGGCATAGCTCCCATATAACAGTACCTCCCAAATTTCGGTATTTTGGGGTTCTTGAGCTCGTTTTTCAACCGAATACGCTGAAAATTGGTACATTGAGTTCTTATTGGGTACTGAATGTCTCCACAAAAAATTATAAATATAGGTCCACTTTTTCTGGTAGCCCCCATATAACGGTACCTCCTAATTTTCAGTATTTTGGGGGTTTTGATCGTATTTTTCCACCGAATTGGCTGTAATTTAGTATTTTGAGTTCTTAATAGGTACCAAATCTCTCTACAAAAAATTATGTATATAGGTACATTTTTTCGGATAGCCCCCATATACGGGTACCCCCAATTTTCGGTATTTTGGGGTTCTTGAGCGCGTTTTTCAACCGAATACGCTGAAATTTAATACATTGGGTTCTTAATAGGTACAAAATATCTCCACAAAAAATTATAAATATAGGTCAATTTTTTCGGATATCCCCCATATACGGATACCCCCCAATTTTTGGTATTTTGGGGTTCTTGAGCGCGTTTTTCTACCGAATACGCTGAAATTTGGTACATTGAGTTCTTAATAGTTTCCAAATCTCTCCACAAAATATTATGAATATAGGTCAATTTTTTCGGATAGCCCCCATATAAGGGTACCCCCAATTTTCGGTATTTTGGGGTTCTTGAGCGCGTTTTTCAACCGAATACGCTGAAATTTAATACATTGGGTTCTTAATAGGTACAAAATCTCTCCACAAAAAATTATAAATATAGGTCAATTTTTTCGGATATCCCCCATATACGGATACCCCCCAATTTTTGGTATTTTGGGGTTCTTGAGCGCGTTTTTCTACCGAATACGCTGAAATTTGGTACATTGAGTTCTTAATAGTTTCCAAATCTCTCCACAAAATATTATGAATATAGGTCTATTTTTTCGGATAGCCCCCATATAAGGGTACCCCCAATTTTCGGTATTTTGGGGTTCTTGAGCGCGTTTTTCAACCGAATACGCTGAGTGGACCGATATTCCCCATCTTCGAATTTGAACTAAGTTTGGAAGAAATAATAAGATGGGCAAAGTTCGGATGAAATCTAAATTTTCTGAAACGGATTTGGTCCAAAGAAACATGGGGTCTAGAACCAATATTTCGATGAGGCACATTTTCACCGTGTGAAAGTGTATACACACTAATTAGCCATAAGGCTGAGGGTATAATTATCCTTTAAAATTTTCTAAAATTTGTATTATGGTTTACATAATCCGTTTTTAGAAATGTCGGTATAGGTGCACTTTTTGGTATGTTCCCTATATTTTCATTTATAGTACCTGTCAATATATCTATGGTGGAGGGTATCCAAAGTTCGGCCCGGCCGAACTTACCGCTTTTTCACTTGTTTTTTATTAAAATATTTATCTGATTTGTTGCGCGTTTTGGGTTTGGTTCTAAGACCCTTTTGTAATCATTTCAACTGCGGAGGATAGAGAGATAAAAAATTAGAACGTTAGGTTCGGTAGTGAACTATAGCCGCATTTAGACCTAGCCCCTGATTGGAGGTTCCAGAAGGAGTGGACCGATATTCCCCATCTTCGAATTTGAACTAAGTTTGGAAGAAATAATAAGATGGGCAAAGTTCGGATGAAATCTAAATTTTCTGAAACGGATTTGGTCCAAAGAAACATGGGGTCTAGAACCAATATTTCGATGAGGCACATTTTCACCGTGTGAAAGTGTATACACACTAATTAGCCATAAGGCTGAGGGTATAATTATCCTTTAAAATTTTCTAAAATTTGTATTATGGTTTACATAATCCGTTTTTAGAAATGTCGGTATAGGTGCACTTTTTGGTATGTTCCCTAATTTTCATTTATAGTACCTGTCAATATATCTATGGTGGAGGGTATCCAAAGTTCGGCCCGGCCGAACTTACCGCTTTTTCACTTGTTTGTATTAAAATAGTTATCTGATTTGTTCCGCGTTTTGAGTTTGGTTGTAAGACTCTTTTGTAATCATTTCACCTGCGGAGGATAGAGAGATAAACAATTAGAACGTAAGGCTCGATAATGAACTATAGCCGCATTTAGATCTAGCCCCTATGTGGAGGTTTCAGAAGAAGTGGACCGATATTCTCCATCTTCGATTTTGAATTATCAATTAAAATTTTCTGAAATTTGTATTATGGTTTACATTATGGTATACATAATCCGTTTTTAGACATGTCGGTATAGGTCCACGTTTTGGTATGCTCCCTTTATTTTCATTTCTATTACCTGTCAGTATATCCATGGTGGAGGGTATCCAAAGTTCGGCCCGGCCGAACTTAACGCTTTTTCACTTGTTTTTTACTATAACCTTATAGACATATATTTCACCTCAAGTGGAAAATTTATTTTTATTGAAATTAAGAAATACTATTTGATAAGAAATAAAACCAGGTTTATTAAATCATAAGGTTAATTTGACTTTATTTGCTAAATTATTTCACGATGTACAACCTTGTGTTACTAAGGGCAAAGCTAAAATAATTTTGTAAAGAGAATTAAAATTTTATTACACCTAATTTTGTACGAAGGCTGATGAAATATTAACTATAAGTATGAACATATCGTATGTATATTGAACATTGAGTACATGAAAGTACAAAAAGACAATAACTATTAGTAGCATCGTTGGCAGAAGCTGCGCGAGAATACGCTTATGACATATTTAAAGTTATGTGTATTTCACTGTATATGCATTAGAACGTTAACGGTGATATTTCTACGATGATGTTCGTATGATACCAAACGGTGACGATATGACGAAACATATGTACATCGAAAGCACCAGTATGTTGCCAAACGTAAATGAGATGTTCATCATCATCACGGCTTCAACTTGTGCTAACAATGTGTGCATTTGCTCGAATGTTAATTCCGTATTATGAACGACCCTTTTAAGATGCAATTTGACCGAACGAACAGCAGACTCCCAAATTCCTCCATAGTGTGGTGGTGCTGTTGGAATGAAATTCCATTTGATGCCGTCTTCATCCAATGACGTGGCAATTAAATCATTATGTGTTTGGGACAATGTTACCTGCTGTATTTCTGATAATTGTCGTGAGGCGCCTAAAAAGTTTCTGCCGTTGTCGCTGAATATGTTACGACACTTTCCCCTCCGAGCTACAAACCTCTGCAAAGAAGCCAAAAAACATTCAGTACTTAAGTCCGTTGCCAATTCCAAGTGTATTGCCGACGTTACTAGGCATACAAATAGACATATGTATCCCTTGGATTTGCGAGCGTTTCTTCCATGATAGTGCTTTAAAATAAACGGGCCAGCGTAGTCAAAACCGCAATTTTCGAATGGGAATGCTTGACGAACACGTACTCTGGGTAAATCGCCCATAAATTGATGGTACATAGTTTGACGTTGACGAAAACATTTGATGCATTTGTGGGTTAACGTTCGAATTAAGTTTCTCGCTCCAAAAATCCAATATGATTGGCGAGTAATAACAAACAGTGCCGATACGCGAGGGTGCAAGTGTTTCACATGAAGATCGTTGAGAATAAGTACGGTGATACGACTGTGTTTTGGTAGTATGATAGTCATCTGCGTGTCTGCATCAAGATCAGAATTTCGCAATCTGCCTCCAACTCGCAGAATGCTATTGCTGTCAATAAATGGAGATAGTTTGATAAGCTTTGATCGAAAGCTAACCGGACATTGTTGTTTTAGCCTATTTATATCTTCTGTAAAGCATTTCTGAGCGTGTTTCAATAAAATCCATTTGCTCTCTTCAATTTCATTAAACGAAAGGCTTGTTGTTTGTATTTCGTAGTGCCGTTTCGAAACATGTAGGAAACGGTAAATATATCCAACAATTCGAACTAGTTTTGACCACTTTGACACTCGATTTATGATTTCGTCCAATGTGTTGACATCATCAACACTGGCACTGGCTTTAGGGCAGACATAGCTTCTGGATCTGCAATTCATTGAAATTAGTCATAGTTTCATTATACTTATCGTGATCCCTCAGAAAATTTGGTCCCTTCCACCAAAGTGGAAACTTTAATAATGAGGATGCAGTCATTCCTCTCGATGCGCAGTCGGCAGGATTTTGTTTTGAAGATATATGGTTCCAAATGTCTCTAGGTGCGATTTCCAAGATTTCTGATGTTCGATTGGCTTCACATATTTTTTTAATCTGATAGGAGTTTGCGAAAGCCATGACAATACGATGGTTAAGTCGCACCAGAGTCTTACGATGATATTTTGGTGATGCATGGCATTTTTTACTCGCTTCAGTAAACGGGTGAGTAGTAGTGCTGGGGCAGCGTACGTTGTTTGATGGGGGCGACTCGCGTCTTTGCGGCTATAATCATTACTTCTGGAGTGGAACCGGTTATATAACGGGAGTATATAACTGCAGAATGCGTTGACGGATGCGTCCGAAAATCCGTGTAGTTCAAGTTGTGTGTTGAGGTCAAATATTCGTGTTTCGTGTTTGAGATTAAGTTTGAATCCCAATATGTCATCACTGGGTCTCCAATAAACACCAAGCACCTTTTTAACGTCGCCGTTTTCTTTGTTGAAAAGTAATGTTGCCTCAGGTAATTCAGCGATAAGTGAACAATTTGATACCCATTTCCGTAGTTCCAACCCAGCTTGGCCGAGTAGCAGCACTAATTCATTTTTGCGCCTTATGATTTCTTCTTCGGTGGCTGCGCCGGTCAAAACATCGTCGACATAAAAATCTTCAAAAAGTATTTTGCTGGCTATAGGGTAAACTGCCTTGTAGTCTTCTGCTAGCTGTTCTAACACACGAACTGAAAGGTATGGAGCGCAGGCAGTTCCGTAGGTAACTGTGCACAGCTGGTCATGTTTCAAAACATCCATTGGGTTTTCACGCCAAATAATCCGTTGGTAATTTTTATCGTTTATCGTGAACCCAGATTTGGCGGAACATTTTGACAATATCCGCAGAGAAAATAAATAAAATATCATACCAAGAGGAACGTCTGAATTACTGGAATTTATTTCCTGAAAATGACGAAAATGTTCTTCAACATAGGCCGTATGTGGATCAGCGTCAATTTTTCTGTCTGGCTCCTCCATTTCCCAAAATTGTCTAAGACTGCGGTCGATATCTACAGTAGACAGTAACGATGTTGTTTGGTTCGCGTTTGCAGGGTTTTCGATGTATGTGACCACCCAACCAAAAATTGTAGGAAATGCGAGTGTGTTACCCTGAGAATCAACCCGCCGATCAAATGTAAAAATGTTCCATAAGTAGTCGACACCGAACAATATGTCTATCGGCAATGAAATGTTATAACTAGGATCGCCTAGGTACAAATCTTGGATTAGGCCCTTAGCTTGGTTATGAAATGAATGGTTTGGAAGTGGTGTAGTTATGCAACTGTGTACAGTTGCTTCTAAGGAGTATTTTGAATCTCTTGAAGTGATACTGAGATGGCATGATCCTCTTGTAATGTTGGCTTGAACTCTTGAAATACCACTTACGCCAAGTTTGGAATGAGAACTGTGAAGACCAAGACGATGCACGCAATATTCGGTTATGTATGGTAGTTTGGATCCACCATCAAGCAATGCGCGATATTTTACCGTTTGTCCTGAATGACCTCTAACGTTTATAAGTGCATGTATATATGTGTATATGCATTAGAACGTTAACTGTGATATTCCTACGATGATATTCGTATGATACCAACTGGTGACGATAAAACATATGTATATACACATATATGTACATATGTACATCGAAAGTACCAGTATGTTACCAAACGTAAATGAGATGTTGCTAGACTCGGTATGAATGTTGCTGAGACTTTTTTAAAGGTGACCTTTTTTCTTTACGATGTGTTACAGTATAGAAAAGAATTATAGCACAATATATTGGTTTCGTTCATCATCACTATTTTATAAAACATTTTCAAATATTTATCCACCACAAGTGGACAAATTTTATCATATTATTGTCACCTCAACAGACTTTTGACTTAAAATCGCACAACAAGCGTTTCCAAACGGTTGATTTGCCATTACATTACCTCCAGAAAATGTGTCTGCGATACAATGTTTTCTTTTTAAATCTCACATTATATCCATTGCACTTAATTGTACAAACTCCAATTTATTCAATTTATTACAGTATTGCTGGTGTGGCACTATTAAGCTATACTGCTTTTTGTTTAATATTTCTTTTTTGACTACATCTTCGGTTATGTATGGTAGTTTGGATCCACCATCAAGCAATGCGCGATATTTTACCGTTTGTCCTGAATGACCTCTAACGTTTATAAGTGCATGTATATATGTGTATATGCATTAGAACGTTAACTGTGATATTCCTACGATGATATTCGTATGATACCAACTGGTGACGATAAAACATATGTATATACACATATATGTACATATGTACATCGAAAGTACCAGTATGTTACCAAACGTAAATGAGATGTTGCTAGACTCGGTATGAATGTTGCTGAGACTTTTTTAAAGGTGACCTTTTTTCTTTACGATGTGTTACAGTATAGAAAAGAATTATAGCACAATATATTGGTTTCGTTCATCATCACTATTTTATAAAACATTTTCAAATATTTATCCACCACAAGTGGACAAATTTTATCATATTATTGTCACCTCAACAGACTTTTGACTTAAAATCGCACAACAAGCGTTTCCAAACGGTTGATTTGCCATTACATTACCTCCAGAAAATGTGTCTGCGATACAATGTTTTTTTTTAAATCTCACATTATATCCATTGCACTTAATTGTACAAACTCCAATTTATTCAATTTATTACAGTATTGCTGGTGTGGCACTATTAAGCTATACTGCTTTTTGTTTAATATTTCTTTTTTGACTACATCTTCGGTTATGTATGGTAGTTTGGATCCACCATCAAGCAATGCGCGATATTTTACCGTTTGTCCTGAATGACCTCTAACGTTTATAAGTGCAGTTGGCAAAATGTATTCATTACCGTTAGTTTGGTTAGCTTTGTATGAGGTTAACAATGGATTCGCAATATTTGGTACAGTTGACCATTGGACTGGTGCTTTTGGAAAATATGGCGTTATAGAAGTCTGTGTTGCGTTGCTCTGGGCATCTGTAGCATGGCTATTCGTTGGTTCTGTAGATTCTACTGCAACGTGCAGTAGCGTATGATGACGTTTCTGGCATATTTTACATCGATTCTCGAACAATTCAGAACAGAATGTCCTGTTCGGAGGCAATTGTAACAAAGTCATGATTCCTTGGCGATCTTTCCTCAGTTGAAAGTTGAACGAATTTTGGGCATTTAAAGATTATGTGGTCAGTAGACTTCCAAATAAAGCAAAGATTAATTTGCCTGCTATCGTTACTCACTAGAAATTTCGGTGAACTTGATGTAGATTTCGTAAAATGCGAGTGTTTAGGTTGATTGGATTTTCGCTGGCAAAGTTCCAATTCGTCGGTGCGACAATCCAAAAACTGTAGAAAATATTAAATCGACGGTCTAGTGTTATCTCGACAATCCTGAATCCATCGGCGTTTAGTTTTGGAGTCAACTCGTCCAAGCAATATATATATCAGCCAACAATCCCTATCATCGTGGTTAATAATTTCGTTAGAACCGTCGAAATGTTTCTCAAAATTGTACAGTTTTCGGTCGAGGTTGTCGGCAGTGCCATAAAGGTCTCGATGAAGGAATTTATAATATGTTTTTGGCCGATCATATCATTTAACCGAAGGCATGCGGTTTTGTATGCTGAGTCAGTCAATGGAATATGTTGAATCACTTTCGCTGCAACATCCTTCAATAAAGATTTGAGGTAATGGAATTTTTGTATGTTTGATAGGTTGGACTTCGAATCGATGGTGCTTTCGCAGAGATCCGCAGTTCCAATTGTAGTATGAACCGGAGAATGGTGGTATAATTATCCTGGGAAGCTCGCTCGATTTTGACGATGAAGTGTCACCCATTTTTTGCAAGAAGTCCGCTGGTTGTTTTGCTAATTGATCCATAGCATCATTGTTGCTTGGTACTGAAAAATCCGACTCCCCTCTATACATGTACATTTTGTCTGTACTCGAGACAAATTCCTTCCAAACTTCTTATAACCGCTCCAATCTGCTTACGACGAGCTCATAGTTCCACTTTTCTATGGGTTCTTCCGAATAAGTTTGAAGACGAGTCAATGAGCTTTTCATACGGCCACGGTATGCCACTAATGTTGCTAAATCATCTGCCATTTCACAAACTTATTTCTACATTCACGGTTTTGAGTTATACAAATTAATTATAATTATATATAATGAGGTTTATTAAATCATAACGTTAATTTGACTTTATTTGCTAAATTATTTCACCATGTACAACCTTGTGTTACTAAGGGCAA